CTGCGTCTGGGGGTGAGGAGCCAGGGGGTGCGGAGTCTGAGGCTGCTGGGTCTGCGGGTGCTAGGCCTGGGGGTGAGGAGCCTGGGGGTGCTGAGCCTGCGGGTGTGGAGACTGGGGGTGTTGAGCCTGGAGGTGCTGAGTGGGAGGGTGCGGAGTCTGGGGGTGCTGAGCCTCGGGGTGCTGCTTTGTCTAATGCTCTTGCTGGTGCTTCGCCGCGATTGTCTCCGCAACAGCTGCGTGAGTGGTTTGCTCAGCACCCACGCCTTCGTAGTGGAGCTACCAGAGCTAGAGACACTGGCAACGCTGGAGCTGGGGGTGCAAGAGTTACTGCTTGAGCTGGTGGTGGTTGGCGCTGCGGCTACTGGTCCTGGAGGTGCTCGTACCAGGGGTACTGCAGCTGCCGGGGCTAGTGGTGTTGAGGGCGCTGGAGCTGGAGACCCTATAGAGCCTGGAGCTATTGGAGCTGGAGGCTCTTGCGCCGGTGGCGCTTGAGCTGGAGGCGCTGGAGCTGCAGGAGCAGGAGCTGTTGAACCTGGAGCTGGAGGTGCTGGAGACACTCTACGGCCGCGACCGTACTTCGTTCCCCTTCTTCAGCAGGTTCTTGGTGTCCCGTCTTCTACTAGCCTTACTCCTCCCCTCCTGTGTCCACCACATGACCAGTTGCAGCTGCCGTTGCAGACAGCCTCTCCACTGCCTGCTCCCTCTTCTTACACTGAGCAGACCGGCGGTCTTACAGAGCGTCGTGAGCCTGCGTCTCGTCTTGTCCCGCCTGTTCGCACTGCTCGTCGCGTTCTTTGTTCGCGTCCTCCTCCTGTCCCCGGCAAGCACGCTATGGCACTTCGTCCTTCCTCTGTTCCACTGCGTGTTCCTCTGCCTACTCCTCATGAGTCCTCTCTTCCTGAGGTCCCTGACCCTGAGTCTGACCGCGCTCGTGCTGCCAGTCCCACTGTCGCTTGTCTCCTCACCACAATTGTCACTGACCCTTCGTTTGAGTCAGCTGCTGCGTCTGCTCTCGTTTCTGAGCTGCTTGGCTTTGCTGCTGCCTGTCGTCTAGACTACGCCACTGCTCTTGTTGCTGAGTCTGAGTCTTCCAGTCCTCCGTCCGTCGGGGGTGAGTGTGCTCTTGGCACGGATGTTCTTGAGGACAGGCAGGAGGACTTTGAGTGTCTTGCAGCTGCTGTACCTCGTTTCGCTTCCATGCTGCTTGCCCCTGAGGGAGACCCGGATGCACCAGACATCCCGACCCCGCGCTCTTACGCAGAGGCGATTACGGGTCCTTACTCCTCTCAGTGGCAGGCAGCCATGGATGCCAAGATGGCATCCTGGAAGTCCATTGGCACCTACGTCGACGAGGTTCCCCCACCTGGGGCGAACATAGTCGATGGCATGTGGATCTTCAGGGTGAAGCGGCCGCCAGGTTCTCCGCGTGCCTTCAAGGCGCGTTACGTTGCTCGAGGCTTCAATCAGCGACAGGGGGTAGACTACTTCCATACCTTTTCCCCCACCCCGAAGATGACTACTCTTCAGGTGTTGCTGCACGTCGCTGCTCTGCAAGACTACGAGTTGCACTCCCTAGACATCAGCACAGCTTTCCTGCAGGGCAGCCTGCACGAGGAGATCTGGCTGCGCCGCCCACCTAGCTTCACTGAGTTGTTTCCTGCAAGTAGTCAGTGGAGCCTCCGGCGGCCAGTCTATAGTCTCCGCCAGGCGCCTAGCAAGTGGCACGACACACTGAGGACTAAACTTGCGGCTCTTGGGTTAGCTCCTGCTACTGCTGACCCGTTGCTGTTTCTACGCACTGACACCTCGCTGCCGCCATTCTACGTCCTCTTGTACGTCGACGACCTCGTCTTTGCCACTGCTGACACTGAGGCACTAACCCTTGTGAAGTCGGAGCTGCAGAAGAGACACACCTGCACTGACCTGGGTGAATTGCGCAGCTATCTTGGCTTGCAGATCACCCGGGACAGAGCACGGCGCACCATCACCCTGACTCAGTCACACATGGTGCACTAGGTCCTTCAGCGCTTCGGCTTCCAGTTCTCCTCGCCACAGCCCACTCCTCTGTCTACCAGCCACTCGCTCTCAGCTCCACCTTCGGACGAGTCCGTAGAGCCTACTGGTCCATACCCAGAGCTTGTAGGTTGCCTCATGTACCTGATGACGTGCACACGACCTGACATCGCGTACCCTCTTAGCCTTCTGGCTCGCTACGTGGCTCCTGGTAGGCACCGAAAGGTGCACTGGGATGCTGCGAAGAGGGTACTGCGCTACTTGTGCAGTACGTCACGCATGGGGCTCGTGCTTGGAGGACGGGGTCCAGTTGTCCTCACTGGTCACGAAGACGCTTCCTGGGTTGACGACTTAGCTACGCAGCGGTCGTCACAGGGTTACACCTTCAGCCTCGGTACGGGCTCTATTTCCTGGCGGTCTACCCGCTTGTCTTCTGTTCTCAGCTCCAGTTGTGAGGCTGAGATCTACGCCGGGGCCATGGCTGCACAGGAGCTACGCTGGCTCACCTACCTGCTGCTTGACTTGGGAGAGTAGCCTCGTTCGCCTCCAGTTCTGTACGTAGACAACAAGGCCATGATTTGTCAGAATGTTGTATTTGTCTAGCCTGCAGTGGGGTGCTCTATAGCGAGTACAGCCCAATCTAGGGTTTCCTATATGTACCCAACTGCTTGCTAGTGAAACCCCTCCTTTCTTCATTCTTACTTTCTACTGCTAGTTCTGACATGCTATCAGAGCAAGTCGATCCCCTTGGGTCGATCCTGTGGGTGGGCCCACCACCTCACTGCTTCCGCTACTACTGCTACTCTGTGTGTTGCACGCCCCGTGGAGTGCGACTGATTTTTCATCCCGCCGCGCGCTCGGAGCGTGCGGCGGTTTTCTGCCCGCCGTGCGCCCCGAGGCGCGCGGCGGCTTTCTGCCCCGTCACTCCGCGCGTCGCTCCCGGGAGGCGCTGCGACGGGCGACGGGGACCCGCGCGTCGCCCCCCGTCGCCCGTCGCGGCCTGCGCGACCTGCGTAGGGCCCGCGCGCGGCCTGTACAGCCTGCGCGCGGCCCGTACGGGCTGCGCCAGGCCCGCGCGCGGCCCGTACGGGCTGCGCCAGGCCCGCGCGCGGCCCGTACGGGCAGCGCCAGGCCCGCGCGCGGCCCGTACGGACTGCGCCAGGCCAGGGCGCGCCTCGGGCCGCCCGCACGCGGTTCGTACGGGCTGCGCCAGGCCCGTGGGCGCCCTGTTTTCTCTGCCCCTGCGCTGCCCGCTGTCCCCCGTGCTTCTGACGGCGCCCCACCCCTGCTGCTGCCCGTTCTCCTGAATTAGGGTTTGGGGGTGGGGGGTATGGGTGTGCAGTTTCTGTGCGTCGTCCCCTGCTCCTCCTCCTCCTCCGTCTACCAGTGCTGCAGCTGCCGCTGAGGGGGGTGGGTGTGTGGGAGCCGAAGGAGTGGTACTAGGGGGGTGACGTGCAAGTGGAGTTAGAAGTGAAACAGTGGGTGTGTGGGGGGTGTGTGGGACAGTTGGAGGAGGTTGAGCGGAGGCTGCTGTCTTGTCGTCCGCAGCACCTGTAGTCCGGGGCGCACTGTCCTGGTAGCCCAGAGAGTCTGCTGCGCCTGTCGCCCGAGGGTCCGTTGCTCCTGTAGCTCGTCGTAGCCCGTGAGCCTGTTAATCCAGTAGTCCGGGGCGCACTGTCCCGGTAGCCACTGTGCCAGCAGCTCCTGTTGCCCGTGTGTCTGCAGCTTCAGCCGCCGTCTCTCATCTTCTCTCCTCTCACAGTCCCTCCTCCTCCTCACTTGCCCGCTGTGATTACCTCTAGCTTTGCTTCTTATTGTGAACTCCTGCTATACCTGCTCATTGTGCTGATTACACCCCACTTTGACTATGGGGGTGTGTCAGAATGTTGTATTTGTCTAGCCTGCAGTGGGGTGCTCTATAGCGAGTACAGCCCAATCTAGGGTTTCCTATATGTACTCAACTGCTTGCTAGTGAAACCCCTCCTTTCTTCATTCTCGTTCTATTCTAGATTCTAACATGATTGCCTTGTGTCAGGAGCACAGACTGGAGCACAGAATGAAGCACATCACTCTGCGATACTTCCTTGCTCGAGAGTTGCAGCAGCGTGGCCAGCTTCGTCTTGCGTACGTGGCCACTAGGGCCAACATTGCTGATATATTCACCAAGGCACTTCCGCCTGGTGATCATCAGCGCTTCTCTACTGTGTTAGGCCTTGTGCCTACTTTGCCTCACTTGCTTACTGCTTGACTCAGCTTGTACTGTGATCCATATATATGCCTGCATGCTTACACTTGCTAGGGTATGATCACTGTATTGTTTGTTCTCTTTATATAACTTTGCATGTGAACTGGCCTTGTGGCCCTTTGCTTGTGCTCGGACTGTGTGGTGACTTTGTGATCCACCCTGAGCTTGCTTTGCTTTTCTTGACTGGTCTTGTGACCACTTGTTCTCCCCCACTTTGCCTATGGGGGTGTGTCAAACTTATATATAGCTTACATTTGTGTAGGCTGTAGTGGGGTAGCCCATAAGGGGTACAACCCAATTAGGGTTAGTACTTGTACCCAACTCTTTGCTAGTTCATCCATTCTCGTTCGTTCTTTTTGACAAAACTCCTCAAACAGATTCCTTTGTAAATCCACCTCCCTTCTTAGGACCAATGGTGTATTATAAGAATACCTGAGGTTTGAGAGGCTTTTGCTTTTACCATTGATGCTGGCCCCTGGTTCACATCTCTTTAATTTCCTACAGTTGCTCCACTGCAAACAAGAATACATAGAGTGTGGGCGGACAGCCCTGCGTGAATCCCACCTTCATTTCCACCTCTCCTCCCTACCATCCGACGTTAAATCCCACGGCCCAAATTTCAAATCTGGATAGTACGGGATAGTTGGAGGGTGGGCATTGGGGTGGACGGTAGGGAGCTTTGCCAGGGGGGCTATGGTGGGAGGAGGGGTGGTGATAGGGGGGCTGGTGATAGAGGGGCTGGTTAGAGAGGGGCTGGTGAGATAGGGGCTGGTGAGAGAGGGGCTGGTGATTGAGGGGCTGGTGATAGAGGAGCTGGTGATAGAGGGCCTAGTGATAGAGGGGCTAGTGATAGAGGGGCTAGTGATAGAGGGGCTGGTGATAGAGGGGCTGGTGATAGAGGGGCTAGTGATAGAGGGGCTAATGATAGAGGGGCTGGTGATAGAGGGACTGGTGATAGAGGGGCTAGTGATAGAGGGGCTGGTGATAGAGGGGCTAGTGGGATGGGGGACGGTGGATGGAGGGACAGTGGGAGGGGGACTGGTGGTAGGGGCAACTGTGGGAGGGAGGTTGGAAAGAGGAGTGGAGGGTCGGAGGTTGGTAGGCGGCATGCAAGACAGAATGGGGGTGGGAGGAAACGAAAGACCGTGGAGGAGCAGAGAGGATGGAAAGCGAGAGCAGGAGATGAAGGAGTCAGGGAAGGTGGAGCTAGGAAAGGGAGAACAGAGTAAGGGAGAGCTGGTGGAGGGAGGGCAGTACAAGTGAGAGCAGCAGAATGGAGAGCAGAAGAAGGGAAAGCAGCAGAATCGAGAGCAGGGTGAGGAAGGGCAGAGGAAGGAGGGGAAGTGGGGTGGAGGCCGTGGTAAAGGCATTGGAGCAACAGGGCATGTAGATGGCGGTTTTGTCTCCAACAGCTGCCCGACTACTCACCAAGGGTGGCTGTTGCACCCTCAGGAGGCCCAGGCGGGTCGAGGCCGTGGCAAGGGCGAAGGAGCAATAGGGTATCTAGACCACGTTCATCTCTAAACCTGCAGCCCCTCGCACCCCCATTCACAGCACCTGCTGCCACACCTCTCGCAACCGCTATTAGAACACCTTCTGTCACTTGTATCGTTGCAAGCGATTCACTATCCCCTGCTGTCAGGCCTGATATTGCACGTCCTACTGCAACATCAGGTGTCGCACCTGCTGCCACCACTGGAGACCAGCACACTGCAATGCATAGAGTGGTACCAAGAGTGCAACAAGGGTTGCCACACTGCTCACCTTCTTCCAATGTGCCAACCTTCTCCATGCCTCCTGCATCCACCCCTTTCGCATCCTCCGTTCTTCCATCCACAACCCCACCATCTTCCTCAGCAGCCCCAAGCGTATGTGCCACATACTCGCCACGATTCTTGCTCCCAGGAGGACAACTAGGTGGCAGAATCAGAGTAAATAGCGCGACTGCATGACCATCGATCAGCTGCATGTGTCTGTCGGCAACAATAACATATGGCAACCACATGACTCAGTAATCAACAGCACGAGTCAAGACAAGATTGGAAGATGCACTTGTGGTGTGATGAGTCAACAAGACAATACGGTAGTGTGTCACAACAATGCAGACACACACTTCCACGTTTTTTGTGTTGAGTATCTGTTATTTGTTACCAAATTTCAATATGAAAAAAAAAAAAAAAAAAAAAAAACTAGTACCGTACCCCCTCGGATAAAACCCCCCCTCCCCAGTTGAAGACCCCCATGTCTTTACTATAGGGGTGAATGTGTTGAGATAGGAAAACAAGAATGATGAATGACTAGCAACAGGGAAATACAAGTATGAAATCCTAACTGTGCCTAGAAGAACTAGGAACATACAAATTTTTTTGACACACCCCCCTAGGCAAAGTGAGGGATAGCCAACACAACAAACGGTCACAAGACCAGTCAAGCAAGAGAACAAAGCAATACAAACCCCAGGATGGATCTCAAGATCACCACTCATTCTGAGCACAAGCAAGCGGCCACAAGGCCTGTTCACATGCAGAGTTATAATAGCAAGGCAGTACACTGATCACAACCTAGCAAAAGTAAACATGTATGTATAAATATAGATATCAGTGCACAACAAGTGCAAGATCAAGAGACAAGCAGGTGAGGCAGAGTGGGAAGAAGCCCAAGAGCAGTGCAAAAATGCTGATGATCACCAGACCCAAGGGCCTTGGTGAAGACATCAGAAATAATGGCCCGAGAGGCCACGAAGGAAAGGCGAAGCTGACCACGCTGCTGCAGCTCTCGAGCAAGAAAGTAGAGAAGAGAAATGTGCTACGTTCTATGCTCCAGTCTCTGCTCGTGACACTAGGCAAGCATGACCTTGTTGTCTACGTACAGAACTGGAGGAGAACGAGGCCGCTCCCCCAAGTCGGTCAGCAGGTAGGTCAGCCAGCGTAGCTCCTGTGCAGCCATAGCCCCAGTGTAGATCTCGGCCTCACAGCTGGAACCAAGCATAGAAGAAGAACGAGTGGACCTCTACGAGACAGAACCAGAGCCAAGACTGAAGGTGTAACCCTAGGACAAACGCTGAGTCGCCCGGTCGTCGGCCCAAGAAGCGTCAGAGTGTCCTGTGAGTACCATTGAACCCCGTCCTCTAAGCACGAGCCCCATGCCCTATGTACTGCACAAGAAACGCAGCGCCCTCTTCGCAGCATCCCAGTGCACCTTTCGGTGTCTACCGGGAGCCACGTAGTGAGCCAGGAGGCTGAGAGGGTACGCGATGTCAGGTCGTGTGCACGTCATCAGGTACATGAGGCTGAGAGGGTACATGGGCTTGGTGCGGGGTTTTGGGTTCAACCGCCTTTGGTGGGTGGGAGACAGCAGTGTGAAGGCCGAGGATGTGAAGTCCTGAGAGGCCGGGGCTGTGCCACTGATCATCGATGACTTCCACCACATCGTCGTCAGAGTTGTGTCTGCTGGATGGGGTGGGGCTAAGGAGGGAATCGCGTGAGGAGTCGAGAGGAGCACTATCCTCGTCATCATCCTCGTCGCTCCATGGGCGAGGGCCGGGGTGGGGATCCGTGGGGTCTCAATCCGCGAGCGCTGCTTCCGCCTCGTCTTCTGGGGTGGCGAAGCTGCGCGGTGGATGCTCGTAGTTCGCGATGTTGTGTTCTCCCCTGGTGTGGTCAGCGTGGCGGTCGCACTGGAACTGGCGGATGCTGAGGTCTTCGTAGAAGATGACGTCACGGGCCACAACCACCCGCGAGGTGTCGTGGTCAAGGATGTTCCAGGCGTGGTGCTCGAAGTTGATACCGAGGTGAGGACAAGATATTCGTTGTTGACTTTCTAAAGATTTTCGTAACGGTTCGTGATGGGCTCAAGAAGTTTGAAAGGTTGGTGAGTCAGTGCAGCCAACTTCAGGGCAGATAGTGCAGTCGGTGCGGCGAGTTGTGTTGACGGGGACAGGTGTGCCATCAAGGCGGAGTAAGGTTCCGGGAAGGAACACTTGGGCGCGGATGTCAAACTTATATCTGCTATAGTCTGTTTAGGCTGTAGTGGGGTAGTTCTTAGAGGGTACAACACTTTTGTGTTCTCTACTTGTACCCATCTCGTTTCTAGTTCAACCATTCCATTCTCAATTCTCACATGGTATAGAGCTGGTTCGAGTTTTTTTTTTTTAGGGCCCTCCACTCGAAATATTTTTTTTCCTTGCCTGCCTGAGGCGCGTGTCGCGTTTGACCGAGCCGCGCCCTAGTGCCTGCCCTTCGAGGCCCCTAGTGGCCTGTCGCTGCCCCTTCGTGGCCCTTAGCGGCCCCTCTTGAGGCCCGTCGCGGCCCCTCTTAAGGGCCGTCGCGGCCCCTCTTAAGGCCCGTCGCGGCCCCTTCTTAAGGCCCGTCGCGGCCCCTCTTAAGGCCCGTCGCGGCCCCTCTTAAGGCCCGTCGCGGCCCCTCTTAAGGCCCGTCGCGGCCCCTTCTTAAGGCCCGTCGCGGCCCCTCTTAAGGCCCGTCGCGGCCCCTCTTAAGGCCCGTCGCGGCCCCTCTTAAGGCCCGTCGCGGCCCCTCTTAAGGCCCGTCGCGGCCCCTCTTAAGGCCCGTCGCGGCCCCTTCTTAAGGCCCGTCGCGGCCCCTCTTAAGGCCCGTCGCAGCCCCTCTTCAGGCCCGTCGCTGCCCCTTCTTAAGGCCCGTCGCGGCCCCTCTTCAAGCTCGTCGCGGTCCCAATTAAGGCCCCTCGCGGCCCCTATTAAGGCCCGTCGCGGCCCCTCTTCAGGCTCGTCGCGGCCCCTCTTAAGGCCCCGCGCGGCCCCTGTTAAGGCCCGTCGCGGCCCCTCCTACGGTCCTTCGCGGCCCCTCTGACGGCCCGTCGCGGCCCCGTCACGGCCCTTCGCGGCCCCTCTGCCAGCCCATTGCGGCCCCTTTGATGGCCCTTCGCGGCCCCTCTGCCGGCCCTTTGCGGCCCCTCTGCCGGCCCGTCGCGGCCCCTCTGCCGGCCCGTCGCGGACCCCCCCCCCCCCTCTTCTCGGCCCCAACTGGCGCGCCCCTGGCCGGCTCCTGCTGCCGAGCCCCTGTCGGCCCCAACTGGCGCGGCCCCTCCTGGCGTGCCTCTGCCGGCCCCTTCCGGACCCTGCTGATGAGCCCCTGCCGACCCCTGCCGGCGCCTGCACCTGTCTCTAGTAAGCCGAGCCGCGCCACCCGGCTGAGCCGCGCCGCCCAGCCGAGCCGCGCCACCTAGCCGAGCCGCGCCGCTGCTGCTACTGCTGCGCTGCTGCTACAACCGCTACTGCTGCTACTGCTGCACTACTGCTATTACTGCTACTGCTGCTCCCCTTCCTACTGCTTCCACTGCTGCTATGGCTAGTCCTACAGTTCTCACCTTTGACTCTGAGGGGCGTGCAGTTGACTTTGACGTATGGGTTGATGACCTACAGCTCTTTCTTCAGTGTGATTCTAGGGATGGGGTATCCCTTTTCGATCACATGTCCGGTGTTTCCACTGCCCCTCCTGTTACTGCTGACAGTACTGTTCGCTCGCAGTGGACCACTCGTGACGCTGTTGCTCGTCTTGCTGTTCGTAGTCACCTGCCGCCTGCTGAGCGCGCACACTTTGGTCAGTACAAGACTGCTCAGTCTTTGTACGACGCTGTAGTTGCACGCTACTCCTCCCCTGCCACTGCTGCCCTCAGTCGCCTCATGCTGCCGTACCTTTTCCCTGACCTTGCCGCCTTTACCACAGTCGCTGACCTAGTTGCTCACCTTCGCACTAGTGACGCCCGCTACCGCGCTGCCCTTCCCACTGAGTTCTGTGCCAAGAACCCCCCCCCCATGTACATCACCCTTTACTACCTAGTCACCCGCCTCCCTGACTCTCTCTCTTCAGTCAGGGACCACTTTCTCTCCCTTTGCCCCACCGAGCTGACTGACGACCTGCTAGAGGAGCGCCTTGCTGCAGCTGAGAAGAGTATCTTAGCTGTAGGTACTTCTCGCGGCGACCGTCGCACCCCCTTCTTTGAGGGGTGTTCCCCTGTCCCCCTTCTCCCCTCTGTTGCTTCTGCTGCTGCTGTCGACCTCGTTGGCACTGAGGAGGTCGGAGCTGCGTCTGCCCCTGGTGGGAGACGCCGCAACAGCAAGGGCAAGGGGAACAGGGGTGGTGGAGGGGGTGGCGGGGGCAGCGGCGGAGGCGGTGGAGGAGGCGGAGCAGGTGGCGGTGGAGGTGGGGGTGGTACCGGGAGTGGGGGCGTCAGTGGCGGCGGTGGAGGTCGTGGCGTCGGTGGCAGAGGTGGTGGAGGCAGCGGCAGCGGTGGTGGAGGCGGAGGCGGCGGTGGTGCTGGTCGAGGTGCAGCCGCGCAGCGTGGAGGCTTTGGTGGCAGCCAGCGGTAGCAGCAGCTGCGCACCCGTGAGACCCCGTCGGTTCAGCAGCTTCGTGAGTGGTACGCTGGGCGTGGGCGGTCTGGGAGTGCCGGTCCCTGCACTTACGTTCTTCGCACCGGCACTCGTAGTGGGGAGGTGTCTGGGCTCCCACACACCACGCAGCGCTGCTTCGGTCGCTTGACTGACGCTTGGCGTACCCAGTTTCCTGACACTGTTGATCTTCCTCGTTGGCATGATCTGCTTCTGCAGAATGTGCCTATCTTTGATCTAGACTTTGATGCTATCCTTGCTGCCATGTATGCTCTTGCTGATACAACTGAGGGTGACTGTTACCTGAGTGTCCCGCCCGACCCGGGCACTGCGGCTGCTGCTCTAGGTGCTAGTGCGGCTGCTGCTCTAGGTGCTAGTGCGTCTGCTGCTCCAGGTGCTGGTGCATCTGCTGCTCCAGGTGCTGGTGCGTCTACTCTCTCTGGTACTGCACCTACTGAGTCCTTGCACACTTTCACACTTTACTCTGGTGCTTCGCGCTCTTTCTTTAGAGACAGCACCACGCTCACGCCGCTCAGTCGGCCTGTTGCGGTCTCCCTTGCTGACCCCTCAGGGGGCCCAGTCCTTGCACACTCCTCCACGGT